TAGAAGAGCAGGCTGTACGTGGCGGTGAAGTACAGGGAGAGCCCCACGCCACCGATGGACTTGACCGTCGCGCCCAGTGCCATGAATGCCGTCTCGTTCACCGGAAGCCAGTGTAGGGCTCTGTAAAATAACATTATTAGCACTCACTGTCTCCAGAGGATGTGCGCCGGTGTCGTGGTACGCGAACCCTTTGCCTGACACATTCAGTGCTGTAATATCTGGTGCGTGATCGAGTGAGAGTCTTAATACGCTCTAGGATGGATCGGGAGGGAGGAGGGGGGATGCTGACACAGGCTTTGGAGCGGAGAGGTAGGGGTGATCACACTCCACCCTGAAGCACGTGTCAGTACACCCCCTCCCCCTTTTCAGTGCTTGTCGTTCACCTTCTACCAGGACAAGTGAGAGGGACCACTGTGAGCATGAATTAACAGTATGCCAAGACGGAATTTTCGTGATGATAGTAACTATCAGAAAGAATAAAAAATGTTTAGTATATTTATTGTAAATTTATTTAATTAAAATTTTTAGTGCAGTTTTTTCATGATATCAGTGTTCTGCTTATTGAATTTTTCATTCTTATGTTTCCAATGCTCTTTTTCTCCCCCCCCCCCACCTTTTTTTTCCCCGTTGTTCATGGAACTATACTTTAGTTTGTTTATCATTTTCATTGTATATTAACAGTGTTCTTAATGGTTATTTGCGATTTTTGTGTAAATGAAACCTTCTAAGTAATGCCCGTATTGGCCTTTAGGGTATATGAATAAAAAGTATGTCTGGATTTGCTTCAAGCAACTGCCTCCCTTTAGATCAGTGGCTGGGTCCGCCCCTAAATGCGCTACTCAGCCAACGTTTCTAGAAGCAGGTATGAAACCCTTGTACTCTACGGCATCGCATAGGTTAAGCAAACTTAACCGAAGTGGAGGTGATTACCGCTACTAAAAATATATTTCTTTTCATGAAATAATACGATGATCGCCGCTCTAAAATAAAACTTCCAGAGTGCAGGAAGAGGTGTGTCGATGCGTACAAAGTTTCTAATACTGCTAAACTCTGTTGTGGCATACTTAGAAGATATCCACTAGAGCTGCCCGTGAAGACACAGAAAATCAGCTGCTCTGACCACTATTTAACAAAAAAAAAAGAACGAGAATCACTTTTTGAAATGTACGATGAACACATTATAGGTACTAATTGGGCTTTCTTCTTCTTCTGTTGTTTTTGTGGTTGTTGTAGAATGCAAATATTAAGTTACCCAAGTGCAGCGACGGCCAGTGCTTTCACTACTACTCCAAAGACCATCAGGTGGCTCGGATAGATGACAGACATCTGAAAAAATAAAGGAAATGCCTTTAAATGGTAATGCTGCGTAGTATAGCTGGATAAATTGTATTGTTAAGAAGGCAAGGTATTCTCAAGGAAACATTGTGGTGCTCACAGGTTTAAGATTAATGCCGCGCGATGACAGAAACAATACTGCTATATAATCTACCCATGGTTAGACTACATACCAGGCTGTGGGAAAGTAAGGAACCAACAATGGCTGTGGCTTTAGTTGCACTGAACAGGGAGCCGGTGTCGAAATAGTCAAGTCCGTGACGTGTCGCCTGTAAAAGTGGAGAGAGAGAAAAAAAACAGTTTCGATAAAGGAAAAGAGAAATGGGTGCCTCAACAGGACTTGGCGGGACGTTTCAATCTGTAATGCATCGGCAATACAGGCTTTTGCTAGCGACAGACCATCCGAATTTGCGTCGCGATGGTCCCACGGCTAAAACGCTGATGCCTAGCTGGGGCGCAAGACTCACCCACTAGTTCTGTGTACTATTGGACCGTATTCGCTTGCAACTGTGACTGTGTAAGACTACATGGAAATTCAAGAGGTGAGAGTTCAAATTTGTCATCCAGTTGAAGCTGCCAAAAATCTCTAATGAAAACACTCTATAACAGGGGTCGGCAACCTTTCGAGGCGAATGACAGAGTTCCATGAAGCCTACATGGCGGGTGCAAAGAGGGGGAAAAATCGGTGATTTAGAATTGATTACAATGTAAAAAATATTATGGGCAGAAACAGCGCACAAACTCACGGGACGAAGAGAAGAGACACAAACAAGCGCTGACTCTCAACTGAAGAATTTATTGAAATATACAAGTTATCTGAACACATAAGATAAAAACGCACAGAACATGCGCAGAGGCCCGGCGAAGGATCGTGTCGACGTCATTAACAATTTTGTGCTAAGGGTAACTGCGCAGGCGCTTAAGATTTCTTCTTTTTCATGTAAAGATATTGAAAAAGAAGAAATCTTAATCAGTAGCATGTTTGTTTGAATGGAATATGCCGCGCCTGCGCAGTTACCCGTAGCACAAAAATTGTTAATGACGTCGACACGATCCTTCGCTGGGCCTCTGCGCATGTTCTGTGCGTTTTTATCTTATGTGTTCAGATAACTTGTATATTTCAATAAATTCTTCAGTTGAGAGTCAGCGCTTGTTTGTGTCTCTTCTCTTCGTCCCGTGAGTTTGTGCGCTGTTTCTGCCCATAATGTATCACCAAATAGCCCAACTTTCAGTCTTGCGTCAGTGGAAAATATCACAGCATATCCACGGAGTGAATGATGAGGAGTGGGGCGAAGCGTCCGTCTGTCCATCCATCCGTGTGTCTGTCCGTTCGTGCATGCGTCCGTGCGTCCGATCGCGTTCGAGAAGGCAGACGGCGCGCGGGTAACACCGACGAGACGCGAGCCAAGGAAGCCGACCGCAAGCTTCTTCAACGCGCCCGCCACTCTGCCTCGTCCATGTCCACCAACGACCCGCCACGTAAGGTGACTATCATGCAGACTGAGAGAGGTACTCGTTCTCCGCTTACCCAGGCCCAGCCCGCGCTGCAGCCAATCGGAGAGTAGCGGTACAGTGCCATCTAGAATATCCTCACTCAACTGCAGTTTGTATGTGCTTTTATGAGACAGCGCCGTCTATTATACTGTTCGTGAGATACTGCCTTCTTTTATTTCTCGTCTCTTCTTTCGGTTACGCGTGACGCATGTCAAAGTTAGACGAAGAGGAGCTTCACCCCTAAAACTTGGCTAGAAAACATGCTTAGTTTGAGCAAACATGTCACAGGTTGCAACTTATGAACATAAATTATGAGCAAAAACTCTTAAGGTCAAGCCTGCCATATTGGCCTTCAAATAGGGAGTGGCGGGAGTTCTGACGTCATCCTCAGGGCCGCATAATACACCATACGGGCTGCAGGCTTCCGACACCTGTTCGACAGTAATCCATTATGAGAGATGATACGCAGTCACTTATCGGCGGCACCTTTGGAACAAACTGCGTATGCGTAGTATACATGGCATAATAATAGACAAAAAATGGTCATGACAACAGCTGCACTGCCCACTACGTTTTATTTTACGCGTTCGTACAACTGTCAACATTCGTGAGCTTCATTTCTGTGATGCGCTTTAGTCACGAGTCTGCGGCCACAACGCATGAGACCCCATAAAATGAACTTTTAGTCACTAGCCTTCAGTCTGAATATCATTTTACGAGGTCCTCACATTTTTCGACTTCAAACTTTATGGAGCCTACCCCAGATAATCCTATAACAATAACTTAAAAGCCAGCTCAGAGCTTGGCGCAGGAATGTAATTGGTGATTTCTTTCGGAAATGAAAGTATGATATCTGAACTCTCAACTTTGTTTTTGTTCAAGTTTTTCAAGCAAAAAAAAACAAAAAAAAACCGATTGCGTCCAAACCAAACAACAAAGGCCACGTGTATTTGTTTGAGTTGTCTATTTCAAAGGCGTGGCTTGCTTGCCTGGCACAGTATGTGGTAAATGTACCTACAATACCAATTAAATATAAATCAACATATTTGAGATGGCATAACGCGCAACAACATGGTCTTTCATCAGAACACCCAAGATAGCATCAAATAAATGAAATAGTACATTATTTAAGGATAACGGATAACGTTACTCGGGCACCACTCACACTCAGAAGTCAAGTTGTTTTTTGTTTCTTTGTTTTTACGCAGCTCCGAGCTTTAAAGGGCTGCCTCTGAAGATATGAAGAACGAGCGCGTTATCATCTCCCGTCTTTTTGACACGATTCGCGACGCGAGCAGTTTGCTCACGTGACGTCAGGATAAAAGAAGGGTCTTGATTGGCCGATATACGAAACATATCCGTTGTGAATTGTCACCTTCCCTACTTTACGATGCAGTCGCATGCCCGTTCTACCTTGTACAGCGTGATTATCGATAAACTGATTTCACTGCATTTTCTGCGTTTGTGACTGTGCAAGCAGTGACATCAGCGTCTAGTCGAAACACGAGAAACACTGACTGGCTCAACGCTTGGTGGTGACGTCTTGCTTGTTTTATGAAGAAATAAGTGGCGAGGAGGCGATAGCACTTGGGATAGCGAAGGCAAGAAAAAAAAAAACTTTTTCGCCTTTGAACTCGCTGTGGCTTAATGGCCGTTTAAACGTGTACGATTATCTTCGGGACATTGGTTTGCTGGTCAAGCTTTATGAAGGACGCACCAGATTGACCAAGCTTTATGTTCTTACATCGCACCGATTTCACAAATAGCGCCACATTCACGGAAGATACTGTATAAATCTTCCGACGCGCTCACGGGCTGTCACGGCCACCTAAGGTGCTGCTTTCAGCAACATTAGTACGGCTCGATGACCAGCTGCTTTCCGAGCAGCCAAATGTGTAGTGCCAGTACGTTTGATCTTCCAACCTGAAAGCGACGAAGGCGCTGGTGGAGTTTCTGCGGTCAACAAGTCCAATGCTGGAGTCAGTGTGTGCCTTTACTTTCTGAATGCATTCCTCCTTGTGGTTTTCCCTCCTTACCTTTCGATCCCCCCTTACCCCTGCCCCTGTGCCGGATAGCAAACCAGAAATTTTTCTTCTGGTTAACCTCCCTGCATTTCGCTTAGCCTTTAACTCTCTCTCTCTAAGGTGCTCGACACGGTTCCTCCCGCATTC